GAGATACATAATGTAAAAGCGATTAAATATTATCTTTTTCAGTCATTTCATTATTAGCTAACTTTAACTTTCTTTTTTATCGAACCAAAAAAACGATAGTAATTATATTTGTATAAAAAGTACTTGGTAAGTGAAAAATGTTGTTTATTATAAGTCATTGTTCAGCGAAGTAACAACTTCACTGAACCCCAATAGTCAAGTAGGCCTTTTGTGATCGCTATACGTGGTCAAGATTTCAAGAAAATGTTATCATTTTATGGTCAAAACATCATATATTACATTTTGAAATAGCCCAACTTGGACGTGGCCCTACCAAAATCCTTTGTCAGATTTTTTAAAATATTTTTCCAGAAACTATCAACATAACACTACAAAGTCCATTAGGTGTCATTTCCTAGCAGGCTTTTATAGCTGAAAAAACTGTACAAACCTGTAATAGTAATGCACTTTACCATCGTCATATATTATCCTACCTATTCGTTATTCTTTGTCAAGTTTTATTGATAGAAGAACTGTTAGTGTTGAGAGGCTCATTCTTTTAGCATTCGATTCATTGAGATGTAAGCTACGTTTTGACCATAAAATGTTAGCATTTTCTCAAACATCACCTATAGCTATCACAAACAGACATACTTGACTGTTGGGGGTCCCACCTATGTAATTCATGGTACTTTTGCAAGCACTGGTTCACCATCAAGGACTAAGTTTTTTTCATCTAAAATAGCAATTCATATGTAACTTGACATGCTCTGTCTGACGAGCATATTGACATTCGGTCGGCTTATTTCCCTTCTTCATCGTAATTTAAAAATGGATATAACGCTCAAATCGTTGTTCATCTGGATTTTGATTCTGCTCTCCTGTTACAAATTTGTCGAAAACCGTGACATATTGTATGAAAGTGAAAATGGCAATTCAAAACAGTTTTACGATTGTATACACTATACATTTGACCAGCGTTCCTTTAATGTAACTACTCGTGAATACTCAACATCAGGTATTCCACCAATAAAATATTGTATTCGTCCATATTATCTCACCACACTGAATCGAACTTCAATGAATTGTTCTGATAACGGCTGGAAATATACATTTTCTGAATTGTTAAAACTTGGTATTGAACCGAGTACTCTATTAACATGGGGTATTTCAATTGAACAAGCAAACTCTTATGCTGTTTGTATTAACAAATCAAGTGAAAATGATTCTAAAAATCAGTTCATATGCAATTGTACTAATTCTTCAATATTCGGAAAATATTGTGAATATCAATTTTATACTGGTACATCCTTCAAAGAAACAATCTTTCAACAGTTCAATCATAAAGAAAAGCATCCTAGCGAAAGTCAGTATCAAGAAAAACGTACATGTTATACATCGTTCGAATGTGATTCGGGATTGATGTGTCTTGATTGGCGACAAGTGTGTGATGGCATACAGGATTGTATGAGAGGTGTTGACGAGGAGAATTGTCATAAATTAGAATTTAATGAATGTGACGAGAATGAATATCGTTGTTCAAATGGAATGTGTATACCAGAAGAATATTTTCTCGACGGTAGGATGTCTAAATCAAACGTAATAACATGCATTTTTATTTTTATCTGTGCATGTTTAGGCGAACCTGATTGCATGGATGGTACAGACGAAAAGTTTTCTAACAGGCGGAACAATGTTGTTCCTGGTCACTTTCTGTACTGTCCTTACCATCCGAATGTCTATTGTGACGAACGTTCGTGTTTGAAATACCAATATTCCTGTGGTGATGGACAATGTTTGAAAGACGAATGGAATCGATTGCAGTCAACGTTTTATAGCAACGTTACGGGAACATGTTACATGTATCGTAATATGAATTATATCTGTGGTGAACTTGGTCATTTATGGAGTAATGATGGTGGATTCTGTCGAATATTCCGTAAGGAAAATCGGTTAAATATGACTACAAAAGATCAACAATGTCAATATCTTGTGACATGTGCACTAGGAAAAGGTATGCCCGGTGGTTGTCCTTGTGGAGTAGGTTATAGGGAAAGAAACTGTTCTGATCGTATAATTCAAACGTGTACACAGACAATTATGTATCCACAACAGAAAGTATTTCAACCGTTCATCTTCAGAATATACTTACGTGATCGTGATTGGTCAAGTGAAAACAAAAAGGCAGATTATTTGTTTTTAAATGGTAGTATCAAATGCTACGGTTATGAGATATATACAACTGGTGTAACAGTCGCTCTTACCGCTGATAACCGTATGAATCCGTTGTTTGCAGAATCGATATTCTGTAAGCTATCCAATAATACAATTCGAAATTATTCATCGAATGCATCAAAGTACGATCTTTACTGTTGGAATAATTCAAAAACTTACAGTAATAATCTTCCGTATCCCGTTTCTCATGATTTCACATGTAAAGATCAATGTTTTTCGAAGTACAGAGTGAGAGATGGAAATCGTGATTGTTTCTCATCGAGTGAGGAGGGTTCGTCCATTCTGGGATCATGTTCGTCGATTCAAAGATATCGTTTTCAATGCTCACATCAGGAACACTCTTGCCTGATCATTGACAAGATCGGAGACGATATACAACAATGTTCAAATAACTATGACGAGAATCTTTGGGGCGGCAATACTAAACTATTGTTTGAGGCTTGTCATGATCGGTATGATTATAGCTGTATGCGACTACGAAGTTACGTTGAAATGTCCTCGAAACCGACAAAAACAGCAGAAAATACTGGAATTCCATTTCTCAGGCTACCCTTTCGACAGTATTGCAATTCATTTTTGGATTCAGTGACGAAAGACGATGAATTAAGTGTACTTTGTCAGGATTGGAGTTGTTGGAAAAATTGGTTTCGTTGTACAACTGGACAATGTATTCTACGTGAATGGGTCTGCGACGGTGAGTTAGTTGAAATCAGGAGTGATTTGAAAAACGGATTTACTATCTTCTTCAGGTGAATGGGATTGTAACGATGGTTCTGATGAACAGAAAATATTCACGATCAAAGAGTTTGACGATCATAATTCTGAGGTATGGAATTTAACACAAGCAAAAAAAAAGTGTAATGGACAGTATCCGATTAAAGGCAAACATCCATTTTCGAATTGGTGTAACGTTCAAACCGAATATCCTTGTCTATTGGCCAATGTTTCCGATCCACTGGATTTCATCCTCAATCGACCTTGTATAAGCCTAGAAAATATAGGGGATGGACATGCCGATTGTATTGGACATCAGGATGAAAAAAATATTCAGCAATGTAACAAAGACGACAATCACACAATCGGTGCTAATTATTACTGTTCAACGAAACAAAATTGTGTAATGCAAGATAATTTATGTGCTACAACTAATCAATGTCCAAATAGTGGTATTGATTCTGTTTGTTTTTATAAACAGAAAGAAGAACACAGTTCTGAATGCAATGGTGCCAACGATTTTCGTTGTTATGGCGGCGAATGTAAAAGAAACGCTCGATGTAATTATGGTACCGATTGTCCAGACGGCGAAGATGAGTATTGGTGCTATGTTAACAGAGATCTTCTCGATAGTTATCGACGAAGAAAACGTGATGGGCTTCGACCGTCGGTAAGACTTCCGTCCTATCCGGTCGATGGAACTGGGAAAAGTAATGTAACATCGGTATCAACCAAAATAATCGATAGTAATCTGTTGATCGAAAATCGTGTAGAACGAGGAAAGCCAGTTGATTTAAAAAACTTATCATTCGTCTGCCAACGAGGTGTAGCGATTGAAAAAAATTCTGAAACTATTTGCCTTTGTCCTCCATCGTACGCTGGTGAAAATTGTGAATTTTCGGCTGATCGTCTTACGATAATAACACATTTGAATTTAACTGGTACAACGTATTACGGAATGTCTTCTACTCAATATATTACAGCTAAAGTTTTAACAACATTTTGGTATGCAGATCGTTTAATAGTAGATCATCACATCTTTCATGTTATTCCACAAATGGAAACAGCAGAAAGTTATGTTAAACGGAAGTTTTACTTGTTGTATCCTCGCACGCTGGAGTTCATTCGCGAAAAGCGTTTTAATCGTAATAACACACAAAATTATACTGTGCAATTTGAAGCATATATCGTTCGAAATGATTCCTCGATTACTGTCGTTGGTATATGGAACTATCCGATTTACTTCGATTTTTTACCATCCTATCGTCTGTCCAAAATTCTTCGTTTTCCAACTAATCAATATCCTTGTTTTTCCAATCTCTGTGGCGCACATGGCACTTGTCATCGGTTTTTAAATGACCTCAACTCTTATTATTGTTACTGCGATAGCGGTTACTACGGCAAACTTTGTGGGTTGTACGATAATCGATCTACAATATGTTCTTCGCATTCTATCGCTCGTCCATATCATCGTGGAATTGTTCATGGAGAAGATACAGGTCCACTGTGTCTATGTCTTTTAAATTATTACGGCTCTACATGTCATCTGTTCGTTGATCCATGCTTGCATCATCAATGTGAAAATGGTGCTACGTGTTACCCAGCATATGAACCGAACGATATCGCAGCATATCAGTGCGCTTGTTCACATTTATTCTATGGCGATCGATGTCAGTATTTAAGACCACATGCGCAAGTGGACTTTGTTGAGAATATTGAAAATATTAATGAACCGTTAGTTACTAGTGTATTCTATTGCGATCTCGGACTATCAAAAGACGATATCATTATCGTACGACAGGAAGTCTATAGTAGTCAGCCAGCTGAATTGGACTATTTACATGATGATAAGTATCTTCCAGCATTGGGCATACTGAAATCTTACGATGAAAACTTTTTCTCCGAACATCGGCCGACATATTACTTGTTGTACAGCCAGGAAGACACCGTGACCCTTAATATTAATATATCATTAACAGCAAAAACGCGTTGTCCACATACTAAAGAAATGTTGGATGTTATTTTCCAAGGTAAGCTTCAGTCAGTTTCTTTAGAAATTTGAGCTTTGTGCAGTACTAAATTTTCTGAATACTTGTAATTAAAGCAATTAGCACAGAGGAGTAGTGGATTTTTTTCTTTTCTATCACATATTCGGATAGCTGAGATGTTGAGAATCACGAATAAGTGTTCTCTGAATCTTTTGGAAACTTGTTTCCGGTCAAAAAATCGACAAAACTCGAAGGTGCTCGGAAATCCGAGTTTTCGCCACTGTTTTGAAAGTTGATTTTTTAAAGTCCCGTTAGAACTTTGGAAATTTT